ATATGGCATCACGAAAAGTGTGACTAAGTCCCAGGTTGCTGATCTAACTTTCTGCCTCATTTTCACACAATTGCAGGGTCTCAATTGTTTCTCTTACTATTGACATCAAAACATACATACCTGTATATTGTTTGTCATTTTTGTTATTTCTATTATTATTATTGCTATTATTTTTATTATTATTATTATTATTATTATTATTATTATTATTATTATTATTATTATTATTATTATTATTATTATTATTATTACAGTGTTAAAACTTGAAAAATTTGCCATTGATGGGCTATTTACAGCTTATTTTTATCATATATGCACACGGGGTTAATAAAAAATTTAAATTTAAACAAACTTTCTTAGCATACTGCGAGGATCCATCAATCTAGTAGTCTCGGCTATAAAATATAATTATATTATATCAATACTGGCATTTGAGTATTACCAAAATATCTGGACAAAGGATAAGAACACGTCCGAAAAAAGCAAGTTCTGAGAAGTAATTATTTTTTCTCAGCTTATAGCGACTGACTGACTAAATGTAAGTTGGCTTCGTCACGTGAGGGTATTATTATTGAGCTACCACTGCACGTTCCACTAAGTAAAACATAAATATAAATTTGACCATTGACTTTAAGGAAGCAGTGTAATGGACACAGTACGCGTTGGTCCATTCTCGTGTTCCGCAGCAGCTTCATTAACATACAAACGGCTTCATTTTACGCGCGTTTGGGGTCATCGTTCTTGTCTTGCCATGCTGTGTAAACTGAATGAGTCAGATGGAATGATTTAGAATAACAAAAAAAAATTTAAAGTCAATTTTCTGGCAAGACAAGATATTTCATTAATGCAAATAATGCCATCAGGTGGTGAACGCTTTAAACTTCCGCAGATTCTGAATTTCATTTAAGTTGGACATCGGGATGGTAGATTACACGGAGGAAGAAGGTCTAAGAGGTGGTCTATACACTTCCCAGAGTACACTGTTGTATTCCTGTGGTAAGTAATTATATATCAATCAAATAATACCGTGGCGTTGCTGAGACAGGGGCATCTGTTGTATGTTCACTGACTGCACCATCCTGAAGGTGGTACTCAGCTGTTTGATTGTTTTCTTGCTTGTCTGGGCGATATTTCAGAAACTTTTTGAGCCAGGAAGCTGGAAATTCGACAAATATATAACCCAGTATTTTTTCTTTTTTTTTCTTTTCATATGGTACGTATTTGGCCCATGTGGTGAGTGTGGGTGACGATGTACACTGAATGTAACACTACACATATTATTTGTCAAATTGTGTAATTTCAGTCCCATTATTATTTGTAGCCTCGTAATATAACAACGCCTATGTTAACCCCAAGTAGACCTCGTAAATTATAATTAAATTTTGCTAAAATTATTTTTGGTCTCACAACTTGAGCTCAGCTGCATTAATTTTTTTTCACTAACATTTGATGCATAACAGCAGCTAAAGTTTGTTGATCTCCTTCATTTGTGAGAGAGGAGGAAAACACTAGGGACACGAGCCAACACGTCTGACATCCCACTGCAGTAGAGTCCAGGCTGTGTTGCGGTGAAGGTTTTTGACTCATCACTGCAGCAGTGTCCAGGCTGTGTTGCTGTTAATATAGCTGACTCACATCAAGTTGAGTCCAGGCAACTGACCCACAGCCCAGGCTGGTTGTATCTGTCGAGGTCAACACTACTGGATTATTCTTGAGTACTGGACCCCATTGATGGCCTTGTGTTAATCAGGTGTGCCATCGACCGCTCCCACACGCCATCATGCAAATCACCAAAAATATTTAGCGGTAATAAAATGATATAAATATATTAATCCTCACACCTAGCTTATAGTATCGTTTGGTCGATAGTCTCGGTGATGCTGAACACGTGGGACAATAACATGGCCACACCTGTGTTATTGTGTGAACTGAGAGGCAATACTTCTGGTGATATATCGACACATACGGAACTTCCTCATATATTTTGTTCCTGTTAATTATACATTTTTTTGGTCAATATATGTTTTTGGGACCTCATTGACCATGGCACTTTCTGGCACTCTAAGTTTGTGATGGCAGAGGCGAAGTTATAATAAATTTATTAGAACTTCGCCTCTGGTTTGCCATCACAAGGCAGCAAGCGCCTACAGATTTTCATTTGTTACTCCACAACCACAAACCAATGTATTTCACTGGTATTTTCGACCATGTTAGAGAATAACACAAGGTTGCAAATCCAAGCTCTTTTCCCCCGTGGTGGCGCTTGTGGCCTTGTGATTCTGAGGCTCTCCTATAAACCTCTCAATTCTTTCCATCAAAATTCAGTGAGAGATCATGATTATTTCTCCTAATGCTTCACTCTCTGTATAAACACACACAGCTATACAGTTAATACATCCCGGATAAGCTTAATATTAAATTACTTCTAAGCGACTTCTTCATGTTGCTCGTTGCCAGATTTTGTAAATAAATAGTAATGAAAAATGTGAAAATAAAGAAACACAATTAAATAAAAAGAAGCGATCTAAAAAAATTTAAAAAAATGTAAAACTAAGAAAGTAAATATGAAACGGAACTACACAGCAATAGACATGCTCACAAAATTATATACCTCTCAGGATAATATTTTTCGACAATAAAGTATTTTTTTCCCTAAATTACCACACATTTCGGCTAAACATTTTCCCCTTCGTCACTAAACACAAATTCTAAAACATTTCAGAAAATATCGAATGTATTAATAGATGTTGTTTGTGCTTGTGACAGACTCAGGAGTATGATTCTCACAATGTATATCTACCATTACTAAATACGGCTATACAGAGTGAAGGTATATAGCGCAGGAATCCAGCAGCGAGTTATACCCGGAATTAAGATGAGTTAGTGGTACTGGGTGGTATTGGTGGTATATACTGAACCAGACAAAATGGACCATATACAGTGGACCAGATAAGTGGACCAGATACAGTGGACCAGATGCAGTGGACCAGAGTGGACCAGATAGTGGACCAGATACGGTGGACCAGATACAGTGGACCAGATACAGTGGACCAGATACAGTGGACCAGATACAGTGGATCAGATACGGTGGACCAGATACGGTGGACCAGATACAGTGGATCAGATACAGTGGACCAGATACGGTGGACCAGATACAGTGGACCAGATACAGTGGATCAGATACAGTGGACCAGATACAGTGGACCAGATACAGTGGATCAGATACAGTGGATCAGATACAGTGGATCAGATACAGTGGACCAGATACAGTGGACCAGATACAGTGGACCAGATACATTGGACCAGATACAGTGGACCAGATGCAGTGGGCCAGATACAGTGGACCAGATACAGTGGACCAGATAAGTGGACCAGATACAGGAGACCTGCAGCAATAAGGACAACAAAGGCCTGTTTGTTATGCATGTATTAAAATTGTGTAAATATTAATTAATTTCCGTTTTTATATCAAGTATTGGCAAACATTTTAGACCTGTGATTAATTTTTCCTCCCACATGACAAACAACTTTACAAAAAACGATATTTAGAGGTCTGGGCGATGTAATTTTTTATTTTTTTTTTTGCAAATACTTTTATTAATTTTATATTATTTTTTTCTTTTACGACATTGATTTATTATTTTTATATACTTATTTTATACATCTTTATTATCGTGCATTAATATATTCTATTATTTAGATTTATACATAACAAAAGTCTTACATGGATGTGGATATTTAGATAGGAAATAATTATGTGATTAGTGAATAAGTCGTCTTTATGATGAATGGTCTGTTGCATAATACGAATCTTCCTGAGTAAAGGTCAAGAGTGAAGAGTCTCCATTAACAAGAGCTTCGCCAGCGGTTATCTTCTACCCTCAGAAGTCCTTGTGTCTGTGGTTATGTCTGATAATTTTCACTTAGTTTACCCTTAATGGAGAGAACGTGTGCAATCCATGAGTTACATTGACAGTTATGACTTCAATAGGCTTCAGAACGCCGAATTTCTGGTAAGCAGCGTCTAGCCACATTAACCTTTGGTGGATGAGGCTGTGAGAAGTCTTGTGGTTGGGTGGTTACTGGTTGTCTGGAAGCCTCGATAATAGAATTTACTGATACCTGGAAGCCTCTATAATATGACTCCGTGTTACTTGAAAGCCTCGATATCAAGAAATCCTTTTACCCGGAAACCTTAATAATAGGAGTTATTGTTACCTGGAAGCCTCGATAATAGGAGTTACTGTTACCTGGAAGCCTCGATAATAGGAGTTACTGTTACCTGGAAGCCTCGATAATAGGAGTTACTGTTACCTGGAAGCTCGATAATAGGAGTTACTGTTACCTGGAAGCCTCGATAATAGGAGTTACTGTTACCTGGAAGCCTCGATAATAGGAGTTACTGTTACCTGGAAGCCTCGATAATAGGAGTTACTGTTACCTGGAAGCCTCGATAATAGGAGTTACTGTTACCTGGAATTATCTATATATTATCTGGAATATTTTTAAGTTTCGTTATCATGGGAGAGATAGATAACGCTTAGATAGTCAAAGTTACATTTCTCAAAACACTTTCAATGAATATCTGTGAAATTTCCCTAAGACGAGATGAAAGTCACTGGTTATTGAATTTTACACCTGAGTGGTTAATTAACTTAGGTAACTTTTAGGTCTTGATATATTTTTTACATAGATTTTTTTTAATTATAACGGTGACGGTGATTTTTCTATTAACTATTCTATAATAACTTCCTGAAGAAGATAACGATTAGGCTAAAGTGTTTTTGTTCTTACAGAGGAAGTTTATATTGTGTGTGAGATTATTAAAAGTTGTATTATTCAAGGTCATTATGTACAGTTTTATTAATATTATTTTGTTTTCAGAATGAGTGCAGCCACACAGCTTATGTCCATCCTTCGTTATAATAGGTACATATGTTGAAAAATAACTTACCAACGTTCATCTCAGTGTCTTAATAACGATGTCTTGTCTCCTGCAGGTATCCACCAAGACGGGCCGGTACGGTTACCTGGTCAACCTGAAGGTGGTGGTGCCCAAGGCGGTCATCTCAGGGTCACCAGAGCGACATGTTCAGTCAGGTTCCACCATCTCCCTCCTCTGCATCATTGAAGAGGTGAGTTTTGTGTGTGTGTGTGTGTGTGTGTGTGTGTGTGTGTGTGTGTGTGTGTGTGTATGTAATAATAATAATAATAATAATAATAATAATAAACGGTTTATTAATGGAGTTGCAGCCAGTGGCGGAAAATATACAAACTCACATGTGATTTAAACATAATAATATGCGTTCAATACATTTACAGGGCTGTACAGTACATAAACCTGGATCTATTTATTATTTTAACAATAAATGGGATGGTGTGTGTGTGTGTGTGTGAGCAGTCAACAAAAAGCAATACGCACCCCTGGGTCTCACGTCCTTCCCAACGATAATAATAATGATAATAATTATAATAATAAAGAAATACAAAAAAAAAAGATCAAGAGGGAGAAACAATATATGTAAGTTGTGTTTTCAATGGTAAGAGAAACAATTGAGACCCTGCAACTGTGTGTAAATGAGGCAGAAAGTCAGATAAGCAACCTGGGACTTGGTCATAATTTTTGTGATGCAAAATGGCAGCAGGGTCTACCATTAGACAATACATTATGCTTCCAATATCTTCCCAGGCGGTAGTACCTCCTTGTTTGGTAGCTGCCTATTACCTACTGCCTACTAACTGCTACCTACTACCTACCTACTAATACGATATATTCAGTATATCACGTATAGTTAATACATAGAGATTAACAGAAAAATATATAAAACCCGTGTTGTTCACAGTTCTTGGTCCTGTGTGTATAACATTGTTAATATGCAGTATTTTTTTTGGTGTGTGTTGTTGACTGTACATGAGTTAATGTTTAATCTTAGATGTTGCAGATGTCTAACACAACCACATTCATCTTTCAACATGTTTTATGTATTCTCAATCTCATGAACATTTTTCCAGCGTTGCTTCAGTACTCAGAGAGCTGACAAATACAACAATTAAATTAATACAGGATACAGCCGTTGAGGAACATGAGTGTCGCATATCATATTTTAATTTTCAGTGAAGATTTATTCCTATGTAAAATATATATTAAAAATACACGAAAGGAATAAAGGAAAAATAAATTTTTCTATATTAAAAGAGTGTTAGATTTGGAGGCAGATCTCGGGGTGGATATTTCCTTAAGAGCTTTCCGATGACCCAAGACATTTCCCTTGTGAGTATGGTCTTATGTGTCTTGAAGAAAATCCAAAAGAAATTCACGGACTAAGTATGGAAGGCGAGACTCTAATTACATTGATATGGATCATTAAGAGTGTCAGAAGATACAGCAGGAACATCAGGAGTAAGTATACCCGACTCGCCTCATCACTTCGACCACCTATTGCTATTCCACACAGCAGTTCTCATCACTCAGTAAGGTGGTCATGCAGCCTCCACAACTCACCCCGTCTTCTGCTACTTGCACATCTCATAAAGTCAACATCTTTCTCCCTCACACACTCCACCACTCAGGAAGGTGACCCATTTAACCACCACACATCCCACATCCCATTTTCTGGGACTTACACATCCCATTAAATCAACATCTCTGTCCTTTACAAACACTCTCAGTCTATCTTTTCACTTCACTATCTCGATCTCGCTTAATCTCATTGCTCATTATTTTAGTTATTTTCACTATAGTACTACCCTTCAAGGTCCAGATAACCTCGTGGGGAGAACTTTATTCTAATTTGACGACAAAGGCGGCACTCTGGCGTGAGCTGCACTCGTAGGACGTCAGGAAAAAATAAGTTAGTTTTACAGGCGTGTGGTTAGCGTGTATGTATGTTCAAATATACTGTACAAGGTCGTGAAAGGCCTTAGAACTACAAATCTAGAAATTATTTTATATACCAACAAAAAGTAATGTTCAACTTTCAAATATTATTCATGCCACTGATTCTGAAATGGGCATCAAACTACATCATAAGAATATTGAAACGCAAATTGTTGTTTACGCAAAATTCAAATGAATCTTTTCCCATATTACCTGTGTGATCATATTCCCGTAGCCACCAAAGTGTACCTGATGGTCGTCTGTACATTGCTGTCCTTAACACGGAGATATATGAGTATTTCTACCTCTTAATACCTTATTTAACCATCATGGAAACTTCAACCACCATGCCAACCAAAAAAAAAACGCAATTAGTCACGGAATATCGAGGAAAGCTAGAGTCTGATGAATCAATAAATCCCATCCGTTAATAAACACCACATGATATGAATATTCCAACTGGTATTACATGCACAAGTGAACTCAGAGAATGAAAATAACCACCGCTCATTGACTGCTTTGTCGTGTTACGTATATAGTGTTTTTGACATAATCGACTGAGTGCTGCTTATTTGAATACTCACTTATTTCATAACCAGAACCTGAGCAGTGATGCACAGGAATTTTATCAGAATTTTTGTTTGTGTTTTGACGAGCGTTCATAACACACTCATTTAGGCATGATGATAGGGGAGATTCTGTTTTTGTTTTTGTGTTTTTTTTACAATTTTAAGCCTTTTATCATACGTGTACATATCGTTTTATCTTTTAGATATTAAAATCTGATGACTCGTGCATATACGATCATACACTACGTAATTAATGACCTAAGTTGTTAAAAATCAATAATATATTTTAACTTCACATTGGTGGAGGTTCCATGAATTTTGTAAATAAACTTGACTCGGCTTTTAATCATATTTTTTTTTGGGGGTAGACAAAAAAATATCTACACACACACACACACACACACACACACACACACACACACACACACACACACACACACACACACACACACACACACACATATTGGGAGCAGTGTGAACAACTCGGCCCAGACTACATCGCCCTCTAGAATATAATGAAGTTTCTAAAATTGGGCCACCAACAACCATGTCACCATGAACCATACCAAGACCGTGGTTATGCATATCAACTTCTCCTCTGACCTTGTCCCACCTCCCTCCATTACTTTGAGCCCCAACACACTCCAGGTTGTGGACGTCACTAAGCTCCTCGGCGTTACTATAGATAACAAACTAAATTGGAAAACACACGTCACTACAATTGTCAAATCCTCCGTTTTTTGTTTCCTCTTCCTCCGCAGTTTCAAGTCCCTTAGAGTTCCTCGCCCGATCGCCTCAGTGTTTACTCGGTATTCTTCAAGCTCACCTATACCTCACATGCCTGGTCTTCCTCCGTAAATGACACAACGGAAACACCTAGAAAGGGTGTAGAAGAGAGCGTACACGATTACCCCTCCCCCTACTCTACATATAAAGAAGCGCTCAACACACTGACCCTCTCGGCTTCCTCCCAGAATCTCAATGTGGTTTTAGACCATCATGTGGCACCACTGACATGATCTTTGCTGCCCACCAGATACAGGAAAAGTTCTGAGAACAGTGCTGTGACCTGTACATGGCTCTCATCGACCTAATCAAGGCCTTCGACTCGGTCAACAGGGAAGCCCTCTGGTGCACCGTCAGCCGTTTTGGCTGCCCACCAAAATTCATCGCAACCCAGTCTGAGTTCTTCCCCATCCAAACAGGGGTAAACAAGGGTGTGTTCTGTCACCAACTCTCTTTTCCATTTTCTTGGATCGCTTCCTTACTCTTGAGTGTGCCAATTTAGCCGGCAGGGGGGACATCGAGTTCCTGGTGAAGGGGGTCTCTTCAATATAAGACGCCTTCAGGCAAGAAAGAAGGTGTCGGCAGCTTCCATTAATGAACTTCAGTACGCAGACGAACTCACTCTTGTTCCTCACACTAAACACAACCTACTGAGGATCCAAAACACCTATGCAGATGCGTATGCGAGCCTTGAGGTGAATGTACGTAAGACTCAGACTCTCTTTCAACCTGCCCCAGGTTCAGACACACCTCCACCATCCATCCAGCTTAACCATCCATCCAGCTTAAATGTTACCCAGCTTTTAGTGTTACCCACTTTCGGTATCTCGGCTTCTACCTGTCCACCACTGCAGACACCGATGGAGAGATTCAGTACCGGATCAGATGTGCATCTCAAGCCTTTGGCGGACTCCGAAACCGTGTCTTCAGCTGTAGGGAGCTGAAATTATATAGAAAGCTGCATATATATCGAGCAGTAGTTCTCCCCACCCTGCTACATGGCAGTGAGACATGAATCATATACATTGAGGCTACCATTATCCATGAACCGCTACGCTGGACTGGCCATGTTACCCACATGGACGACAGTAGACTGCCAAAGCAGCTACTTTACAGTCACCTAACGAATAGTAAACGTAACGCCGGCGGGCAATTGAAGAGGTATAAGGATAGTCTTAAGACAAACCTGAAAAAAGTGCCAAATCGACCCCCTCACCTGGGAGTCGATTACTCCACATCGTAACGCTTGGAGGAGCACCACACGAGAAGGTGTCAGTACTTTCGCGTTAGCCTGACTGCAAACCGAGGCAGACAAGCGCCAACGCCGGAAAGACGCTGCCGCCGCCCTCCCGCACAAGATGCAGCCCTCTACAAGTGCAACGATTGTGGACGATCCTGCGGATCCCGTATCAGTCTCTTTAGTCACCCCAAAACTCACCAACCTAGGTGACATCCCTAATAACTCATGTCAGTGTATCATAGCTGGATGATCGTCATACGGGATTCCGAGTGACAGCAAAGTAGTAGTAGTAGTGTGTGTGTGTGATGAAAATAACAACTTAACCTAACCCAAAAAGAATCTAATTTAACCTCACTAAATTTTACCTTACCCCTGGGCCTCATTAGTAGCGGGGACTATTAGGAGTGCGTCTCTGTACGAATATATTTTTCAAGGTCATCTTTAATTGACATTGGCCAAAGGTCACGGGCAAATGGTTTAAACCTTAAGGTTACCCGAGTAACTTTTACCTTTCGTGTGAAGGTCATGCGAATCGCTTATGACCTAAAACTATAATTCATTTAGTGTCATTTTCTCCAAGTACGGCTTTAAGGGGCGTTCTTTCTTGCTCCTTTATTATCTTACAATTTCCTTATTTTATTATAACAAATATCCTCAACATTA